TATTATAGCAAGCCATAATATCAATTTTTCATTTACCCTTTATTTATCCAGGTAGTCTCATTGAGCCACGAGAACTCATTTTCAAGAGAGACCTGTTTTGGGGAGCAGATGGGGGTTAGGGGCCTTGCTCATGGGCCCAGAGTGGGGCGAATGAGGGTGGGAGCAGGTGTGGGTGCTTCACCTACCCCACCCACATTTTTGATGTTGTCGGTACCGGGGCTTGAACCGACGATCTTCCGATCACAGGCCCACCTTCTCTAGCCTCTGCGCCACCACTCCCCCATATTATAGCTTGCTATAGACCCATGTGAACCCCATCTGTGGGCGTAACCACGTATGTGTTTTTCCTGTGTGCTGCAAGTTGCAGCACTGGCATTGGCTGCAACGTTACACACCAATTACCGAAACTTGGCACCAAAAAACGGAAGTATATTTTGATACTTAGTACTACCGAAGCATTTCGGTCGGTACCATAAAAGAACTGAAGTTCAGTGCTCAGCCCTACTGCCTGCACTGCCCCTCCCTGCCCCTAGGACATATGTGGGCCTTATCAGAATTGTGCCACTGATAGACACTGTACCATCATAATCAAAACTTTGGAACTTTATGGAGTGTCAATGGACAACTCACCGCCTTTGTCGACCTTTTATGCATAAATGTATTATGATGTCATTGTATGCTGCTGTTTATGTTGCAAGGTCTTTTTTTGCATCTTTTACACTGTGCCCCGGCCAGGACATGGTGTGAGACATGACTTCTTTTAACTCTTTCCACCCTTGTGTTCTCTTTTCCTCATCTACTCTGTATGCTGTATGTAACAGGTCTCTCTTGTAAATGAGTCCATGAGGCTCAATGGGAACTAACCTATATAAATAAAGGTTGAATGAATGAATGAAAAATTATCTGCCTAAAAATGTGTCAGAATACAGCTGAAGAGCTCCAAAAACAGGGAAATTAAACTGAGAAGGGTTTAAGACCCCAGTGACAAGTCTAGAAATATATTTTTTAGCAATTTTTGTTGCATAGATTTCTTTAATACAGTAGTTCCTTGTTTATTGCGGGGATCCGTACCCTGAAGCTCCACAATAAATGAAAAACTGTGAAGTAGGAATAGTAGTACAAGTAGTAAGTAGTAGTTTATTTTAATATTTATATACAGTAGTCCCTCGCTACTTTGCAGTTCGTTTATTGAGGACTTGTTCTATCACCGTTTTTCAAAATATGATTGGACATGACACACAATTGGCTGATTGATGGATGAGCCGCATGATCGGCATGGAATTTTGGTCAAGAGCGCTTGCAGGGGCAAAGAACAGACGAAGCAGGGAGCTGAGATCATGACATTCTGTGCTCTTTTAGAGCGTTTAGAGTCTAGAAACATTGTTTAGAATATTGCAAGAGTGTGGGAAGGGTTTAAAATGTCTTTATATATATTAAAATAAACTACTACTTACTACTTGTACTACTATTCCTTCACAGTTTTCACTTATCGTGGGGCTTCAGGGTACGGATCCACTGCGATAAATGAGGGACTACTGTATACCCACTGTCCCTCCTCTGGACATGTCCAAACCATCTCAGTCTGGTCTCTCGAACTTTATCTCCCAGTTGTTCAATCTGGGCTGTACCTCTGATGATCTCATTCCTAATCTTATCCATCCTTGTCACTCCTAAGGAGAACCTTAACATCTTAATTTCTGCCACTTCCAGTTCTTTTTCCTGTGTTTTTGTCAGTGTCTCTGTGTCCAGACCATACAACACAGCTGGTCTCACCAATGTCTTGCAAACTTCCCCTTTGACCTTTTCTGACACCCTTTTCTCACAAGTTACAAATTAATTTTTATTATTGTTACAATAGCCAAATCAGGGTAACTTTAATAGCATCAGACAAATGTTAGAAAATTAATGGACAAACCTGAGGACATTAATTTATTTAAATGCATTTAGCAAATGTCTTAATACTCAATAGTTTAACTTTTTTAACATTGGAAGTTTGTAAATTTTAATTCTACAAGGATTGTCAGAGTTTATGCTCAAACATCCAGGTACAAAATCCAATAATGCTCAGTCAGGTCATCTGGACGGTTTCTTTTCTGTGGAAAGACGTTTCGCCCTCTATCCGGAGGGCTTCATCAGTCTGAGGAGTCCCAAGTAAACCGTTTTCCCCACCAAGCAGTACACTCCTTTAGTGGACTAACCACCAGACCACCGGATAGAGGGAGAAACGTCTTTCCACAAAAAAGAAACTGTCCAGATGACCTGATTGACCAGTATTGGGTCTACAAGGATTGCTTGAACATTTCCTTGAGAAGAACTGCTGCCAAATAATCTATTTTTTACATCCTACTTTAAATTTTATGAAGCTGCTATGTATATCTAGATTAGCAATGTTGCCTCAAGACAGTTGCAAGTTCAACTCCAGGCTTGGATGTTTCTGCGTGGAGTTTGCGTGTTCATGTGTGGGCTTTCAGGCACTCTGGTTTACTCCTACTACAGCCCAAAAACATGTATGTTTGATTACTTTGTGACTTTTGTATGCTTATTATCTGTAAAGGTGACCTAGTTAGAGCCTTTTTTTGTGTGTTGGCTAAGGTTGAAAAAACATGGCAGCCATCCTGGCTTGGGTTGACTTCAAAATTTCTTTAGCTGCAGAGGCTTTGACGTTTGGTGTCTGGCATTAGCTGTCATTTATAGACAAGACTGATCTAAAATAAAATGTACAAAGCTCAACTGTCTACAGAATCGCTTTCTTCTGTTTCAACCTCTCCACCAGTATGAACAAGACCAAGCGGATCTACACAAGGCTGCAAGGCCATCAGCAGGAAACTTGATGAGAACTTGCCAATTTTATTTTATTTTTACAGTTATTGAAAACTTGAAGCAAAACAAAATGACCATCCAACAATTTTCAGTCAGGTCATCTGGACAGTTTCTTTTTTGTTTGCAGAAACGTTTCACCTTCTATCCAGAAGGCTTCATCAGTCAAGGAAACACACAACACAAAACTGATTCTTCCCCCAAACAGCTAAGTGGAACAAACCAGTTATGTTAGTGCTAAGAAAATGACTCAAAATGACCATCATTCACCCTCAGTCCGGCAATGCAAGATCTTACCTCATGAAGTGAGGATGGTGATGAGAAAGGTAAGGGATCCGATCAGAAGGCAGTTGGACCACAGACACCAAGAACACCACTTGGTGACACACATCGCAATGTGATGGACTGGAATCTTGCAACGCACACATGGTCCCATCTTGTTCACATTTGTGTTCACTCATAAACTTAAGACTGGCTTGTTCATGTGTCTTCTTGCTGCAGGAGTTCAACCCCTTACAGCAAAGTTCAAATCACTTCAAAAAAGTGATGAATATCTTAAAAACAATGAAAAAGGCAAAGGAAAATCATCCAATCAATTGCTTTCTCCCCATGTTTGCCAACACAGGTAATACCTGACATTATCCCGTGCATAAATGGTTACAATGGTTGAGTAAAGATTTGTGTCCTAGAAATAGAGAGTTGTCCTCAACACTCAGAGCAGACACATACTGAATTGCCCATACGTGCATAAATGCATGCTTGACCACCTCTTCCCATGCATGATGGTTTTTATTTTTAATTCTTGCCTGAAAGATGGCAGGCTGTGCATTCCTTCAAGAAACACCAGGTCATAGTGCAGCAGTGCAGGCAAAAACATGTTGAAGAGCGAAAGAGACAACATGACCCTGCAGTGCCGTTTCATCCAGAGGCTTGCTGAAACATGTAAGTGACAGCATCTTTTACTGATACTGTAGGTAGAGGAACAAACAGCTGCTGAAGCGTCTACTCAGTTATGTGGATTAGTTCATAACAGCCTCTTCAGGACTTTCTTATTAGGGCAAACTGTTTACGGAGTGCACATAAGGAAACAAAACAGGATTTCCCCACAACAATGAAAACTCATGAATCAGCTAGTCCCTGTAGGATTTCAGAACTCTAGCACTCTGCTGTGGCATATTTAGATAAAATATATATATATATATATTTAAAAAATGTGATTGACAATTCACTATTATCACCAAATGAATGAATATTTTTGGAGTTTGTGGGAATACATGCTGAAATGTATGTGACTTTATGATTAGAGATTATGGTGGGAAGGATCTAAATGTAGATCCAGGCAGCAAACAGACCTAATGAAAATATTGCATTTCCTAAATGTACTGTAGTAAAGTCAAAGACAGAAACTACATGCTAAAATTTAAACAGCAGAGCAGCTATCACGCTGCATGATGAAAACCTTAAATTATAAAAACAAAAAGCCGAACATTTTTAACGTGATGCATGTCACCTGCAGCCTTGTGTTGTGAATGACTCTCAGCTACTACTACATAAATACTTAGCTCAGTATTAGTAAAATCCACCAAGTTAGAGTTATTTTTGTGTTTTCTATTCTCTGTTGGCTCAGGTGGTCAATTTGAATGGGATTAGCTCCAACTGTTAAATGTTTGTAGTTGCACATCAAGTAATTATTTCCTGAACGTTTCATTAAAATCTTTTCAGCGGTGCATGAGATATTTTGCTAACAGACAGACAGAATTGACTCCAAATGGTTAATGGCAAAACGCTCAACAAAGATCTTGCACAATCTCGGAGTGTGTGTTTGGGAACAGTTTACTAGCAAACAAAAACTTCTCAGTATCAGTAAACTTTGCAGAGTTGCTCCATTTTTTTTGTCTTTTCAGGGTTGATCGTGTGTGGAGGCCATCTTGAATATATTACTCCAAAAGCCAATCAGTTGTAGATGCACATCCATTGATTACTTTAATGAAAGTTTGATTAAAAATCGACCAGTCTTTCATGAGATGTTTGATCAAACTAATAAAATACCTCATTCATCTCAGCGCTCGTATCTGATTGGCTACAGGCTGAAGTGCATGTTCTAGTGCGCATGCGCGATTGCAGCCTGGTATTTAAAGTTTGGGGAAGACTTTTAGGTGCGCTTGACGTGTTTTTTTTCTTACGTAAAGATGATAGGAGCGGTGCTGAGCACCGTTTTAACCGGGCTTTTGGCCCTGCTCGTTTACCAGAGGGTCTTTTATCCCTTCTTCTGGGCGGACTTGATTTATTACCTCAAACTCCGGAGGTACAAGCGGACGGTGCAAGCTCGCGTGCAGCGAGGAGTCATCACGTACCTCGACTGTTTTGTGCAGCGGGCACGGAGGAGTCCCACGAAGCCTTTCATCATCTTTGAGGAGCGGACACTGACGTACCGGGACGTGGACGGAAGAAGTAACCGGTTCGCGAGAGCTTTGGGAGCAGGCGGCTCTTTGAAGCAGGGCGGCTCTTTGAAGCAGGGCGGCATTGTTGCTCTTTTGATGAGCAACGAGCCGGACTTTGTGTGCGCGTGGCTGGGGCTGTGTAAACTCGGCTGCGAGGTGGCCTTCATCAACACTAATGTCAAAGCCAAGTCTCTGCTCCACTGCCTCCGGAGCTGTGGAGCCAGGACGCTTGTTGTCGGAGCAGGTAAACTGGAATTAGAGCTGAAGTGTGAAAACTTTAGTTTCCTCAGGAATGGGAGTGGCTCCAGCTGACGGTCCACCTCTCACTGGGCTTTTATTGTCCCAGTCATAGTTACTTAACTTAAATGGGCAAAGAACATGAACTTTAAGTTCAGCACAAAAAGCAGACAACTCTACTGTAAAGTAGTTTTAAATTGGGTTAAAAACACCCTGCAAACTGTTAAACCTAATAAATGGTTATATTTTGTATGATTAAATCGTGCAGTTCTCTAGTAGCTAAATGCAGGTAGAACTGGAGAACCAGGATTTGACATTTCTACGTCAACCAAACATAACTGATCTACATTAGGCTGTTTTTAATCTGTGTAGGCAAACAAATACATCAGAAAGGCCTAGAGTCAATGAATTGGAAATATTAGAGTGAATCTGCTGCTGAGTGTGACAGAAAAGTGAAGCGGTTTGTCAAGAATAAATATTAGGGATCGAGCAGGGGGGTGCACCATAAAAACAGGCCTGGATAATCAGTCGCGTACAGCTTTTACAGAACTACTTCTAGATGGATAAGTTAAATGTTTTACCTAACCCATGCGTTTTCTATGCATAGCATGTGTATCCATACATCTAAATTGTTGGATTGGTTCTTTCATGGACGTTGTTGCTGTTTCTTCAGCTGTTTCTGTAGGTGAACAAATGCATATCATAGATTTTCCTTAAAAATTGTTTTGGGAACACATAACCATTGATTTGCATGGTAAAATTGTGTTACTGTTAAAATTACACTTATTTTTATTGACTGATTGATTGACCTGTCTTCATGACACTGCACTGAGTCCCTTGAATGGTAACCAAGTTCTAAAGATTGTATAAAACCCCAGGGCAGATGTGGATTTAGTCATTTTGCATCCCAAGATGAGCACAATGAAGGGGCCTCTCCTTCTATTTTATGTCTTAACGCTTATTTATCTATAACTATGTGTAGCTTAGATCTTCTCCACACAGGAATGCTTTTTGTAAAGGCTCTAAAAGCTTTTCATTGTTTCTGCCTTGCATCTTAGAAACTGCATTTTGGGATTCTCAAAATGGTATTTTTTGAAAACTTGTTCCAGAGTAACAAAATCTGAAACATCATCCTTGCATTTTTGCGTAAAGTGCCAACACAACCTTTTGGAAATAATGATGTTATAGCCCCACCTCTAATCTGAGGAATTAATTGTCTTAAGTTTGTCTTTAGTCCTTCACTGAATGACGACCCCCACTAATGCTCTGCACAACCTCTACAACCTATAAGCATATGGCTGGATCTCTACAAATTTGGAAATCCATTTTCAGTGTGAAGGCGGTCATCACACTGCTTTGCTCTCAGTACTTGCCAAAAGGGCTTTTCTTTTCTATTTTTCTCATCCTGTGCTCTTCCTGCGATCTTCCCATGGTCAGTCCGCCTACCATTTCATGGCTTTCTCAAATGGAGTCAGTCAGATGTGATACTCTAAAATCAACCCACTGCTTCTGCCATGGGTGTTGTGTCTGCGCAGCTTGTTTCTATAACTTTGTCACAATCCCAACTGCAGGTCAAGATATGCACATGGGCATATGTCTGACTGTACTTTAAAAAAATAAATAAAACTCTGCACGTGTAAAATGTAACCTTGAACCGGAGCAAAATGATATGTTTTTTGAATATCCTCCTTTAGTAAGTGCACATTAAATTACTGCTTTTCAACTTGTTTTACAGGATTCGTCATCAAAATGAGTGTTTCTCTGTATGTTTGCAGATTTGGTGCATTTAGTGAAGGAGGTGCTGCCTGATCTGAAACAGGACAACACAGATGTGTGGGTGGTGGATTACACATCTGCGGAGTTCAACACTTTGTTAGATAAAGTGGAAAATGTTTCTGGAGAAACTCTAGAGGACATCCCAAAAGTTAACATCATGTCCAACTTCCTGTTGATTTTTACCTCTGGCACCACAGGTACTGTGGATACTTTCTACCATGACTACATAATGTTGATGGAAAACCTTCCAGTCAGGGGGGAAATACTTCAGACTGTTTCAGTTATGGTTTTATACATCAGGAGGACATAATAAAATACGGTCTTTACCAGGTTCTTAAATTATTCAAATATAACTTCAAAATAAACAAAATCACTAAATGGATTACTGTATATTGTGTCTGTATTTACTAAACGAGCAAAAAATAGAAAAGTTGTATTTTTAAAAAGTCAACTTGTTTAAAATTTTAGGGGAAATGTATCAGCTAGGTGCTGCTGATCAGAAGAATTGATTAACTGATCATCTGTCCGCTCCTCTATAAAAGGAGAAGTTTAGTTTGCTGCTCTGGAATGTTCAGTCATGTGTGAACACAAAGCCAAGGAGGAAATGCATCAGCAATAAGCAGCTGTTGCTGCCCATCAATTTGGAAAGAATTATAAGGCCACCCTTAAATGATCTGAAGTCTATCAAAGAGCCAACTCAATCCAAGATCAGACTGTAATACACAGAGAAATATTTAAAAAAAGCTCTTTTTCAGACTCGTTAAATGAGACCAAAGTAGATGTGTTTACCCATAATGCACAGCACCATGTTTGGAGAAAATCAAATGCAGCAAATTGGCTCAAACGCCTCATATCAGCTGTAAGCAAGGTGGTGGAAGGCTGATGGTTTGGGCTCCTTACTGAGCCGACCATGGGCTCCTCTGTAGACCAAAGGATTCTTGAGTCCAATGTGAGATTATGTGTGTGACAGCTGAAGCTTGGGCCGAACTGGGTTGTAAAGCAGAACAGAGCCCAAACTCAGCAGCAAGTCTACAACGGAACGGTTGAAAAAGATAAGAGTTGAGGTGTCGCAATAGTCCAGTCAAAGTCCAGAGCTCTACCAGATGAGAAACTAATGCCTGTAAACCACAATGAACCAACGTAGTAAAGAAGAGTGGGCCAAAATTCCTCCACAACCTTTGAAGAAACTGGTAAAGTCATACAGAAAACAAGCGAAAGGTTTTCAAGGAGGTTCTTACAAGCTGTTGAATCATAGAATGGACTTGGGTTTTCACACACAGCTTTTCTTCTTTGACATGGTTTATTGTGAGATTAGGTTTGAATAATTTTAGAACCTGGAAAAGTCCAAATCATTTTCATATGTCCTGATCGGTAAAACCCTAGAACATACCAGAACATAAACGACCCACATGTGAATCACTTTTATAGTTTCATATTAACATAGAAATCTCTGGGAAATTACAGTAAGGTATGTCAGAACAATAATAGCAAGTATTCATACATTTTATACAGCACTTGAGTCTAATATTATAATAATAATAATTAATAATATAATAAAGAAATCCACTAGACATACAGTATGGAAGTATTGCTCTAACACTCTTTCTTCATTAGGTCTCCCAAAGGCAGCCCGTGTTGGTCACCTGAAAGCCATCGGCAGCATGGCCTTCTTTGACATGTGTGGCGCAACGTCTGATGACATCATTTACATTACTCTCCCTCTTTACCACATGTCTGCCTCTCTCTTAGGGATTGGAGGATGCATACACCTTGGTAAGATGTTTAACCTCAGCTTTTGCAGCCAAAAAGATTGCCATAGTTGTTATGCTTAGACCGGACAAAGTATTTGGGCTTTAGATAGAGAAGATTTTCTTGTTTGTGATTCTTCCTTTAAAAACTGAGTAAAATAAAGGACTGGATGTCCTCGCATTTTCTCCTGTTGAACTCTGATAAAACAGAGCCATTGTATTTGACTCTAAAACACTCAGGGAGACGATACTCGAGGCGTTCCCAATCCCTCTGTGTTCTCAATCCCTCCTTTTGAATTCTGGGTCATCCTCAGGACCTCCTATTAGTAGGACGTGCCCCTAAAGCTCTAAAGGAAGGCATCCATGAATGTTTTGTTGTTTAGTTGTTATATGCAGGTTAACACAAGGCCAACAGTGCAATGAACTGTTCAGGATGAGAAGAACCCATTTGACTTGCTAAACAACAAAGAACAAACAAATGAAATACTAAAGCATGCAATAAGGATACAAAATAAAGTACCAAAACACTGAAAAAGAAATATAATATTTACAAGGTCCAAGGAAAAATGGAAAACATGGTAGAATATAATGGTTCGAGTAGGATGACTTTGTATTAATAAGTATTTAACAGGTAGTAATATTGGTTTAAATTCACATGATGTATACTGCACATAACTAATAAAAACTACACAGGTTGTGTGACGGATTATTGCACAGGTGGTGAGTAAAATTGAGATGAATTATGATGGTAAGGTAGTGGCATGCATGATACAGCCACATAATGCAGCAACAATAAACATATTAGTTGTCACAGATGTGGCTTGGTGCAAAGTTATTAAGAGTTCAGTAATCTGACAGCTTGTGGGTAATAACCGTCTTGGAGTTGTAGTGAGTCACGTGAGGTACGTGTCACTTGTTGTATGACAAATATATGGATATATATTTATGCATACTTTTCACGAGTTCTTCATTTTTCTGACTGTAAATGCCGTGCATTGAATTTAACACAAAATGTAACGAGAGACGTTATTTATCTTTGACCCATCAAATGAATGGAATCATTTATTTTCAGAATCAAAGTTTAACATCAAACATTTACATTAATTTGGCAAAATATGAAAATAATAACAGACAGTTTCACAAATAATGAACTTCAAATCACTCGGCGGTGATTTGAGGACTTTGCTTCAGATATTTCTAAAATATCTGTACTGATTTTGTGAGAGAGAAGAGTTTAAGATGAAATTGAGATTTATCTTACAGAGGAAATATGTGAGGGAATTTAATCTGTTTGACCAGAAGTTGCACGCTCCGTCCGATCTCAGCTTCTCACGGTACACTTGGTCAAAATAGAACCATCTACCTGTTGATGATGAATCAGCCTTGGAGTAGTTCCTTTCTGACTCGTTTCAGCGTCTCCGTCGAGAGCTACCAAACCTTCAGAGAGTCGTGCGTGGTTAGCTCAAAACAGAATTATAATCCCCAAAAAACCTCTGGATTCTTCATTGCTCTGAAGCTTTCAGAACCGACTGCACTCTCAATCTTGGAACTCTCACGTTCTCCAGAACTCTCAATCTCCATCTCCAACTAACATGAACTGGGAAGTTGCCACATTTTATTTGGGTCGACTTCCTGTTCAATTTAGAGCTTTCTGATTCGTGGAAGGACCAGAAAGAGGAGTGGTTTTGACGTAAGGTGTTTATCAACGGTCGAGGTCAGAGAATGAAATTTGTTTTCACATACAGAAAAGATTATTGCAGCAACAGCAGACTTCGTGGAGTCAACTCTTGGTAATCTTCTGAAAAAGTTTAAACATGACATTTTTCTCGGTAAACATTTTAGTTGACCGAAAACCAACCTTTCACATACTTACGACTTGACTCATTTCAGACAGAAAATCAAGGAATGCTTATTCAGGTGATTTCTTCTTGGAATGAGGAATAAAAATCATTACTTACTGTTTATGTAAAATAAAGATGAGTAGTTCTTTTCAACCTATAAGCATTGAGTGAACTAACACAATTTGATTATCAAAACATTTGTAAGACAGTAATGATTATAAAGAATTGTCTTTTCTGCTTGATTAATTCAAGAAAGAAAGTCATCAGATGGCCCAGACTTATTCAGATCAATGAAAATAACAGTCTCTGTCCATCTGGTAGATTTGAGGTCATCTGGTTCACTACAGAGTCTTTTCGTGCGCGATGGCAGACTCCTGTATCGTCTGCCTGAGGGTAGTAGATGGAAGCGTCCTTGTGCTGGGTGGGTGTGGTCTTTAATGATGCTGCATGCTTTATGCAGACATCAGCTGTGGTAGATGTCCTGGATGGTGTGGAGACTATCAGTGATGTTCTCTGCTGTTTGCACCACCCTCTGTAGAGCTTTCCGAGAATGAGATCTCGGATACAAGCAACGCAACAATCCAACAAAAATCTTCCCAGAGTTCCTAGCAAAATGAGAATGAAAACCGCCCAATTGGCAGTAAACTGCCCAATCTGGCCACACTGGGAGTGACTTGTGTGAGTGAAAGGGGGTGGGCGTGACGGCGGTAACAAAAAAACGCATGTATTTAGCAATGAGTCACGTTATCACTTGGATTTGAATTGGTACGTTTTGCATCCACTAAAAACAAAGATGTTGACAAATAAACTGGACAATGTTCTGGTAATTTATTGATATTTCCACGGTTGTGGTCTTGACTGGTCTTGAAATAAAATCCCAAGTCCTCAATGTCCGAGACCGAGACAAGACCGAGACCATCAAAAAGTGGTCTTGAGACCGGTCTTGAGTACTACAACACTACTGTAGGCACTCTCGTCATTGTTGGTGATGAGGCCCAAAATGGTGGCGTCATCAGCATACTTGAGGATGACGTTTGGACATTTTGAAGCATCCTATTCTGATGTCCGACCCACCTCAACTGACTCCTTTCTATGTAAAGGAGCAGTGGCTCTACTCCAAGCTCCCCCCGGTATGACGGAGCTCCTCTTTCTATCTTTAAGGCTGAACCTGGTCACTCTACGAAGGAAGCTCATTTTGGCTGCTTGTATCCGGGATCTCATCTTTCCATTAGGATCCAAACCTCCTGAGCCCTGGTGAGGGTTGGAACATGGACGGATCAGTAAATTGAGTCTTGCCTTTCCACTCGTCTTTCTCCACCACGACTGACCGAAGCAACGCACTTTACTGAGAATGAGGCACTAATCCGTCGATGCGTCTCCTGCTCCATCCTACCATCACCTGTGAACAGGACGCCCAGATAATTGAACTCCTCCACCTGAGGCAAACTCTCCATACTAATCCCTCTATGAAAAACCTCAGCGTAATCTTTAACAAAGACCTTTCCCATAATTTTAAATAACCAAGTATCCAAATCAGCACTTTTCCTATTTTCTCAAACTGATGCTAAACAAATTATTCATGCCATTCTAGCTGGGCATAAATAATAATAATAAAAAAAAGCCTCAACCTCTATAGTTTTAGCAGAGTACAATCAAAACCCTCCTCAACACAGATGCAGCTCTGAATTGTTGAGTTGCAGCAGATTTAAAGAAGCCAATCGTCTCCTACTACCCAACTATCACTTTGCTCCAAGCATGCAGGTTTGATCTAAAAACCTTTAAACCTAGAATGAGAAGGAGAGCCTTTAGTTTTCAGGCTCCTCTCCTCTGGAATCTGCTCCCTGCTCGGATAACAAACACCCAAAACCCTCACCTCCTTCAAAACCTAACTCAAAACTTACCATAGTTCTTTGACGGAGAGCTGTTTATGATTTAAAATCTGGTGAGGTGGTAACAGTCTCTTGAGCCCGTCTCATTGGATTTGTAGGAAACTATGCACGCTCTAATGGTTGACCAAAACTGCTATAATTACTTTTTATTTTGTGTACATTTTATACCATTTTATTGATCTTATTCTGCATTGCTTATGTTTTTGCTTTTGTTTTAAGTAATTTCTGATAGAAAAGGGCTATGAATAAATGGATTGCAACTGTCTTGTTTTTCATTTAAATTGTTTATGCCTTTATAATAATACATGATTTCATAAAGCTTTGAAAGAAATAAACGGCAACAAAACAGAGTTGTTGCAGTGTTCCCATACACCAAGCAAGTTCTGTCTGTACTTCTGCATACATGCTATTAACATGTTAAAGTGAGCCAGACTAATTTGTGGAAAATCGGTACACCCAGTACGACCTAGGTCCGACTACGTTGTAGTTGCTGGTATATTTGCCTTTGAGTGTTCTTGCCTTGTTCGGCTCACAGGTGCAACATGTGTGCTGAGAAAGAAGTTCTCCGCCAGTCACTTTTGGAAGGATTGTCTGCGACACAATGTGACGGTGGTGCAGTACGTCGGCGAGCTGTGTCGATACCTGCTTAATCATCCCAAGGTAAGACTGTTGTCATTCAAACCAGGAGCTGAGATAAAACTTAGCAACATGTGCTCTGAATTGTGTCTTCATGTTAAAACATAGAGCGTCACAGAGAAGTTATGGTTACTATGCAAGTTGAGCTGCTTTACAATTGTATTTATTGTGCCCTCATGTTTCCAGGTTCCAGAAGAAAAAGCCCACTGTGTTTGGTTGGCAGCAGGAAGTGGCCTCAGGTCGGATATATGGAAAAAGTTTATGACCCGGTTTAGTATTCGTACAATCAGGGAGGGTTACGGATTGACTGAGACCAGCATCGGCTTCCTCAACTACACCGATGAGGTCGGGCCAATTGGGAGGGCCAGCTACTTCAACAAGGTCGGCAGGAAAACCTTCTGAACTTGAACCTTACTTTAAATATCAGATAAACTTGTGCTCAGGGACAAGGCTGTTATTAGCAGTACAATTTGATAACGATGTATTTCTCTGCATCTTGTGCGTTGAAAGACTGAAACAACACATTTTGCAATAGAGGTGTAAACTACCAGAAATAAAAAATAAAAGGTTTATTACTGCAGCTTGCTGCACTTTTTATGTGCGAGGCAGCCATATTGGATTTTGAGATTTGGTATGGTAAGGACTCTTTCACTCTTTGAGTCAGACTTCAGGGCTTTTTCTAGATTAATTTTCTGATGTGAAACTATAAAATTCAAATTTCCAAATCCAAATTAAAAGCAAAAATAACACCAAACCACTAGGAAGCTTGAGTCACGTGATTGACCTAATTTAATCTGGCTGTAGTCTGTGCAGGTAAACAAATGTTGATTTGGACAAGTATAGAATTGAATAAAATACATTTATGTAGACACATAAGGGTAAATCTGCTACTGGGTGTGAAAAAGAGAAAGATTAAGACAACTCTGACCTTATCTGCACACTTTTCTCAACACATCTGAGCATAAATATGCACCAACACATTAAAGTTTTTTAACCTCATCCAATTTTCAGTCACTTCAACTTTTTCCTGAGTTAAACTGCGTAATAGTTGATGCTCATCACACATTTCTTACAAGATTTTAGTTTAAGGACACTAACAATCAATGTGAGGGGAAAATAGTTCAAATTTAGTTTCTTACCCATAGATCTATTTTCACCAATCTTCACGACATTGCAGTAATTACCAAAGTCCATGCTCAATAATCCAGGTATAAAATCCAACAATGTTCAGTCAGGTCATCTGGATGGTTTCTTTTTTTGTGCCAAGACGTTTCACCTTCCATCCAGAAGGCTTCGTCAGTCTGAAAAACGCCAAACAAAACTGCTTCTCCCCCAACAACTTACTCCAAAGTGGAAAAAAACAGTTATGTTGGTTCTTTTCCCCACTTTGGAGTAAGTTGTTGGCGGGAGGGGGGGATCAGTTTTGCTGCTGGATGGAAGGCAAAACATCGCAGCACAAAAAAAGAAACCATCCAGATGATCCGACTGAACATTGTTGGATTGCAATAATTACTTTTTAACAGCAATTAAATTACTTTGAACATGCATAAACACGTGGGGCTGTATTTATTATAACAACTGATTACTAAGTAAGGTTACTTTAAGTTTGAAAGTTTTGACAATTGTATTTTATTTAGTTTTAATACCATAAACTCTTGCCCGTAACAACACCTCACTCAGCTGAAAAGGCTTTGACACCATTTAATCAGAGCAAAATGATGGATATTCCTTTTCTTGCAGCTTTCTATGCCTTTTGAGCTTTTGAGATATGATCCACAAACCTACGAGCCAGTTCGAACAAACTCTGGAAGATGCATTCAAGCTCAGAAAGGTAAATCGATCGCTGTCCTTTTCAACATGAATCATTAAAATCATTCCAGTCAAAATATATCTGGACACCTGAGTTTTTGCCTAGATTCATTAAAGTTTGTAAAACTTATACATTGAAGATGATGACTCTGTGTCTTTTAAATTTACACTCTTTTTCTGTTTAAAAAAAAAAAAAAAAAAGGAGAGGTGGGGATCTTGGTTACTCCGATGACTGCAATGAACCAGTTCCTGGGCTATGCTGGGAACAAGGAGGGGTCTGAGAAGAAGCTGCTACGAGATGTGTTTAAAGTTGGTGATGTCTACTTCAACACTGGAGATCTGCTGCTCTGTGATCACAGGGACTTCCTGTACTTCCATGACCGGATTGGAGACACGTTCAGGTACTGCTACTGTTTGAGATAAAACTTTGCACAGACAATATCTCTCTGGAAACTGTATTTACTATGGTTTGTAAATGAAACTCATGTTTATTAAGATAAGATAAGATAAGATAAGATAAGATAAGATAAGATAGAACTTTATTGATCCTGCAGGAAATTGTTGTGCCCGAGTTTCAGTACAAAGGAACATACACAAGAAATCACATAAGATATAAAAAAAAACATAACAGAGAATATTAAAAAAATAAAAATACCAGCAATTAAGATTTAAACATGTCAGGTGCAGACATGTGTGAAATGTCTTGTGTTTTAATGTTTTAATGTGAAAAAATCATTAAAGTGTAAACAATCGGTCATGAACTGGACTAACTTTGAATGACATCAGTTTTATCTCTAAGAAATATGGTAGTGCTCCAACTACTTTGTAGTTTGTTTGTTTTTTGTCACCAGTTGTGGAGCAAAGGCGGGATTGGAAATACTCTCCATCCGTCCATCTGAGTTCTGAGCATGATGGCTTGAAAAATAAATGATGTACTGACTCCACTTAGGTGTGAAGCTTCATCTAGATGTAAGAAATGTCTCAATCCAAAATTGAGTTTCCGCATCAAAATTCAAGATGGCCACTGCCATATGTGTAAGCCACCCAAGCGTATAACTTTATTAATCAGATTAATCTATGGTGACCCCAAAGCCACCATTGGCTCCTCCATTGTCCCTAGTGGTGGATAAATTGCTCCCTCCACTTGTCAGAATCTCATTCTGCACTGCATTGGACAAGCAAAAAACAAACAAACCTACCTTTATACTTGTACACAGAAAAACATTAAGGTTTACTTGCATTCTCTGTTCAGTCCCAGTCAAGAAAAACACTCATTTCAAAAGCTACAAACATTCATTATTCAAATCCCTCAACGACGGGGGACATCACTGCACCAACTGAATTAACTTCTAATTTGTCCAACGCAAGTTAAAATGTGTGTGTGTGTGCCAGAGTCACACTGAGGTGGACAGGGCTATGATCATGTGCACTCTTTACACCACCAGCACTGTCAACCTAAAATTAGGAGTTCAGGGTTTCTGTGGTCCCGCATTTAAACTAAACAACCACCTGATGTTTCAGTGTCTTTATTACATAAAGGGACAATGCATATTAATCAACATGAATACATCACATAAATATGCCAATAATTTTCATCTCTAGTCCCCAATGTCACTCAAAAGGAGACCATGCATGCATGAAAAGTAAATTTTCTTGTCTTTTGGGCTGTCTGAGTCTTATTTTGGGAGGTCACATCCTCCCTCGCTGAAGTTCAACCCATGGCGCTGATTGTGTCAAGTAGCCACCCCTGGTGGGTCATTTATACAAAAATGATGACACATTTTAAAGGATGTACAAACTTTTTATGTTCTTGGTATGTACGTATGTTAAAGTGGAAACATTTAATATTTAATAATATCAGTATTATTTATATGATTATGTTGCAAAGAATAGTCAGCTGAATCTGTAGCCCCTTATTATTTTCAGAGGATTTAATCTTTTGTTCAACAGATGGAAAGGAGAGAATGTATCTACCACAGAGGTGTCAGAGGTGTTGGGTCTTCTTGATTTTATCCAGGAGGCCAACATCTACGGAGTCTCTGTACCAGGTCTGTGGAATCTCAGCATTTCACCTGGTTTTCCTACGTTCAAAACAGCTGTATGAATGTTTGATTTTTGTTCACTTGTGAGCAATTTGTAGCATTTTTCAATTGTAAGGAATGAAAGGGCTAAGTTTTTTTGTTTTGTTTTTATTTCATAATTGTGATCATATGTGTACACATCATTCTTTCTTTGGCAGTGGAATGATTGTGTATGACATACAACTTTGATGATTCCTAAACACAAGAACTAGGTGCTCAAGTTTGTATTTATGGTATATTTTCTTCTAGATCACAAGGGTCCGAGTTACATACAGGTTTAAATACAGTATATTCATACGCCCCACACTAACACGGTATTTGGTTAAATGCCCCTTAGCAAGTTTGAAAGATGGACCACAGTCTTTTTGTTTCCATCAACAAGCTTATTGCGTAACTGGCTGTTTAACCACTTTTCTTGGTAACTCATTTAAATTGGTTGGCTTCCTGCCGTGAACCCGACTTTTAAGCATAGTCCACAAATTTTCAATCGAGCTGAGATCCGGGCTTTGAGAAGGTCATTTCAGAAGTTTAATGCTGGTCTGCTTTGTCCAGTCAGAAACTTGTTCTGGTGTGTGTTGGGGATCATTGCTTTGCTGGAAAACCTAAATGTGTTCCAAGTTTTGACCTCCCAGCTGGTAGTTTGAGATCATGTTGAAAATGTTGGACGTAGTCTTCTTTCTCCATGGCTTCACCTATTTTGTGAAAAGCACCAGTACCACATTGTGCTACCACCAGTGTCCTTACACAGTCTTCTTGGGTTTGAAAGCCACGTTTTGACGTCTTCAAACATGCTTCTTGTCATTGTGGTCAAATAACTCATTCTTTGTCTTGTTTGTTCATAAATCTCTAGAAGGCATTTGGCTTGTTCAGCTACGCTTCAAAGTGTTGCTTTAGAGCAGGAGCTGTTTTTATCTTAAGTCTGTACCTTCTTAGTCCAGGTGAGTACAAATCCTGCTTCTCTGTGGACAGGGACACTGGTGCTTCGGCAGAGTCCAGTTCATGAAAGGCTTGAGCCTCTGCGGTTCACAATTTGGTCCTGAACCTCCTAACCAGTTTCCTCTTTTTTCTTAAACCAGAGTTCCTTGTATGTTTCCAATGTTTTGAGTATTTCAATGATTCCTGTCAAACAAAGCCAGCCAGTGCAGTCTATCATGATCAGGCTATCAGGCCTCGAACAAGTCAAGCTAACACTCCAGAACTGTGAGCACTACTTGATGAAAGTTTTAATGATCTGATATATTTGAGTCTATGTTGATTTTTGACTGTTGATTAGAGAAAATCTATAATATCAAATTTGTGTATCCTGTTCTTGATCTTAAGCTGTTCAACCATTTCACCCAGAAAATCATTCAAATTACTTCTGACCACTACCTCGTTTATTCCAAGCCTCTTTTTTTTTTTTTTTTGTAAACTCGAAAAGAAACCACCGATATTTCCTCTGGATATAAAAATGAAGCAGACATCTGATGACTTTTTCCGTTCTGTGCATTCAGGATATGAAGGTCGAGCAGGAATGGCTGCTATTGTGTTAAAACAGGATCTCGAGCTGGATGGGAAGAAACTCTATGAGCGTTTATTGAAAGCTCTGCCTCCGTATGCGTGGCCCCGCTTCCTCAGAATACAAGTAAGTTATACACGTGCTTTCACAAGATTGTTCAGAACGAGGGGACATTTTTCACCTTTCCCCCTCTGCCTCTTTTCAGACAAGTGTGGACGTCACGGACACCTTCAAACAGCAGAAGCTGAAACTGGTCCGAGATGGTTTTAATCCAGATGTGACGCAGGATCCTCTGTATTTCTTAGATGTCTCTCAGAAAGATTACATTCCTCTGACTTCAGCTCTATATCAAGACATTGTGTCTGCAGCAACCAGTTTGTGATGATCTTGGGATGTTGGCGTATGTATAAACGGTGCATACTGCATGTACAGGTCAACGCTTGCATTAGATCCCATTACGGCATTACTGCCACAATTCCAAGGAAATCCTGACTTGATGACGCTAAAACCCTTGAGCTGTTTAAAGCATGACTGGCTTGTTGTTAAACTGTTAGATTATTTCTAACTGATAGTGTTGTGTGTTTAGCAAGAAAAAAATGGCTGTATTTTTAAATTGCCTTTCTCCAGATTATGGGTACTTTTTTTTTTTTTTTTTACCAGAGCTGCAAAGAAAGGCATTTAGAGGTTTATTTCCTGTTCCTACTTTGAAATTGATCAAGGCAGCTATTGTCTTGATAAATGTAGTTTAATCTGTATGTATTTTGTTAGCATTGATTCTTGGTTAGAAGTGTCACATCTTTGCTCAACCGTTAGTGTGATCTAACTCTCACATATGTAGACGGAGCAGCGTGATGAGATGTCTTGGAGTTTTACTTTTCTGATTTTCAGAAGCTTTTGGTGCTACTTCTCTCAAGTGTTTGTACCCAGTTCTTACAAGTTGTTGTCTTTTTTTCCTCTAAATGTCAGCAAAGCTTGGACAGACTGTTTTCGTTTTGTTTTTTCCAAGAAGGAATTGCTAAAGGTCTGAGTGTTGGGCGTGTCGTTAAAGGATTTCAGGTGTTTGTTTCTGTGGAATGATTCTAAGCAGTCTGGCCTGTTTTAAATAGTTCTTTGAACGACCTCAGTTTGGACAAAAAGACTTTAATGCTAACCAGACCCATGAGCTAATGACTAGTCCCTGTGGGGCCAAGACCAAACTGAGTTTGTGATTCTGAAACGGCTTAGAGTTCTAAAATTTCACCACACTTCTCGTGAACATCACTTTATACATCTTTATTCCACTTCTCTTAACACTAGTTATTCCAGCAGGATTATTATGATATTCCTGATGGATTGTCTCAGGCTGCCAGCTGTGGTTACAATCTACTGAATTCAACGTAATTAATGTATGTGTGGGAAGGTGTTTGTTAAAACTGATATCATTTGGCATGAACTGAGGATGATATGTACAGTAACATCTTTTTCCTCTCCACCTTGGTGTGGGGGAGGAGGGATCCAGAGCTTTACACATCTGGAGCAGGCGTTCAATCCCAGATGGTCATGTGCTGAGGTTCCAGTAAAAAGGGAAGTCATTTCAAAAGCTGTCATCTTGTGAAAGTTAAGTTTCTAACAGTGTTAAAAATAATATATTAAAAAAGTCTATTTATATTGTCCAGCAATAGTGTAACAATTTTTTTTTTTAACATATCTAGAAGTTTTCACTCAACGGATGATAGTTAAGACGCACATACTACTTGCAACCTAAATGTGGTATTCTTTTTTTATTTATTTAAAATAAAATTGTGATGCAATAAAAAAGATTTACAACAAAAGTTTAGGGAATATTGACGCATCTCAAAACATTTGCATATACCATTTAACCAAAAGATATTCAAATGCCATCATGCCATGTTGTTATTGTTTCAAAATGTTTATGTTCTGACTTGTTTATGGTATTTTCATGCAAAAATGTTCTCCTTTTTCACTCTTTCAATTTTAAGTAAAATATATATGTATCTGGAGGGCTTTTGCTAATGGTGCTGTTATTTTAACTTTCCATTAAGATATTTTGAATAAAATGTAACAGATTGAGTAAGTAAACGATAAAGGAAACTAAACTATACCTTCAAATCATTAATAAAATGTTTCAACACAACAAACTTGTATTGAGACGTTTGGTCTTTTTTGTTTTAAAGTTTTCTGCAATGAGTCGCATTTTCAGCATGTTGCAGTGCTGCATTTAATGTGTATCGGAAATGTGATAATACAACTTTAATAGACGGTAGTTTCGAACTCTTCGTTTAAAAAAATAGTTTAAAAGACCACGACAACTTTAAATGTTACTTTTAAAGTTTTTTTTGATAATTGTGTATTAAAAAAAGTAAGCGAAAACGCTGCAGTAACATTTTATTATTATTATTGTGAATAACTGAAAACATTTTCCGTCTTTATGTTTGCTTGGCTTGACTTAAATTCATGATTTATGACTGATTTTAGTCTCGCTAAAGAAAAAGCGTTTCCTCATTGCGTTTTGTTTATTTTACGTAGCGACAGAATGAAGTTCTAAGTTACACATTGACCCTTAATGCAGCATCAACCCGGTCGCTCTCAGAAAGGGGCGGAGTCTGGATGGAGCAGACGTGGCAACACGACGTCATCACAACTTGACGGTGGATGACTCCATGGGTGAGCAGAGCTAGCTGGTAAGTGCTGCTATTTTTAAAAGGAATGCTTGTTAACTATTAGCACACGCTGTCAGAGATAAACAAACAGTTGTAGATTGGATGTCCTCCATATTCTCGGTTTATTTAATTCGAGCAGTTCTTTAAATCGATGAAACGTTTTCTTAAATGTTAGCTAAACTTAAAATCTTCACAAGTTCCTGTTTGTGTGAAACAACCTTATGTTAAGTGTTTTTGAGTGAATAAAACGGTATCTGAAGTTTATTTGTGGGACGGGCTCATCTTTCAAGTTGTTCTGTTTATAGATAATTTAATAGAAATGACACGAACTAGTCGCTGATGAACGATCAGCTGTTTTCTTGTTTCACACTCGGAAGCTGTCGCTGGATTTTAAAGATGAAATGTTTTAAATGTTCTCACAGCAGTGCCTCAGCTCATGTGTCAGTCTTTGGGTGGAGAAAACTCTCATTTTACTGCTGTCAGATGAAAGTATGTGGATGTTTGCAGGATTAGGATTATATTAGCCTTCACTTGTTTGTTGTAAAATGCTTTTGTGAATAAGTGTGACCATGACCACTGTGACTTGTTGCTCTCTTATGGGTTTTCTCCTGGTTAAACATGCAAATGTGTTTAATCAATATGGACCACAGCCTGTTTAAATGAAATATCAGTTTGTGATGAAAAGCACAACATGGCTGTTCTTCTAGGTCTGCACTCGTCATCAGTCATTAACGTTACCTTCTCATCAGCTCTATAATCTGTTCAGTTTTGCACACAATCTCACATGGATCCTGTCATTTCTTTCTCAAATTATAGTTCTCAATCTGTGGTGCGACACTTTACTGCAGAAATATTCTGAGCTGAAGTTCGGGCTTCGTCTGAGAAGATGATGGAAGAAAGTGGAATTGAGACGACGCCTCCCGTCAGCCCTACACCTCTGACACAAGCTTCTGCAGCCAGCAGCCCACCAGTCAGTGCCGGTAAGACCTGGACTCTGTGCACAGCAACGCTCTGCTTGGGAAAGGGCTCACTGTTGCAGACGTTTATCCCCCTGAAACTTCATATGAAATGGAGATGCTGGCATAGCAGACTAACCAGGATGTTAAAGCCAAGAAGATGAAGTGCACAATTTACATGCAGTATTGTTGTTGTTATCCAATAATCACTGTAACATTGATCTAAACAAGAAACCTAAAGATTAAAGTCAGGCAGTGATATAAGCATCTTAATTCCAGATTCCTGTTAACACCCAACTGTTTGATTCTTGTAGCTCCCAATGTGAGAATCTTTCACCTCTGTTCTCCAGTTTGCACCTAATTTATTTATTTTTTCTTAAACTTGATCTGAAAGAAACGTTTTTAACTCGCTACACAACCTGGCAACTTTCTGGGTGGAGTTCGCATGTTCTCTCCGTGCTGCGTGGGTTTTCTCCAGGTACTCCTGTTTCCTCCCACAGACCAAAAACATGCATGTTAGGCTGATTGGTAACTCTAAATGGTCCCTAGGTGTGAGTGAGAGAGTGAATGGTTGTTTGTCTCCATGTGTCCTTGTGATGGACTTGTGACCTGTCCAGGGCATTCCCACCCACCCCAATCGCACAGGACCCAGAAAGAAAGAAGCAGGTAAAGAGAATGGATGCATGGATACAGGTGCTAAGTGTAAGTTAGGTGACTGGTAGGCCTGTCACGATAACAAATTTTGCTGGGCGATTAATTGTCTCAGAAATTATCGCGATAAACGATATTGTTTGAAATTTGACAATAATTAGTAATTATTGTCAAATTTAAGAGGAAATGTTTCATTTGTTTTGCATGTAGTACCTTTTTTCAACCACTGGATAGCAGTATAAGACTATTTGAACCGAAGGATGGATAGTGAGGGAGCGAGCAGCGTGTCTCTTTAATAAAAATGGGAGGGAGGCCCCTTGACATGACATGGGCTGTCTCTCTTCAGTTCTCAAAATGGCGGACGCTCGGTGTGGTTTGGGCTCTTTAGCATAGCGTTTTTCACACAAAGCTTTTTAATAAAAATCCGTAAACAAGTTTTCAGCGTCTTTTTGCAGAGAAAACTTTTCACACGAAGGCACAGGTTTCAACCGTGAATTTTGGAGCTTCGACAAGACGGAGGATTTTTGTTTCGCCGAGGTCGGCCTGTGCTTCTCAGCTTAGTAGTAGAAAGAGAGACACGATGAAACGATAAAGCGGATAAATGAAAATGAGGTTGTTAATTTTCATTTATCATGCGATTAATTGATTTATTGTTTATTGCGACAGGTCTAGTGACGGGTATGAAAGGCTGGAAGAACAGTGTTTGTACTGTTTACATCTCTGTGAGAATTACCGCTAGTGTAATGGACATTTACTGGAGTGTGTATGGAGCTTTAATAAACCCTAAAATGTTCATTTCATGGAAGATGTTTGGTCTTGTGGTTTTTGAAAAGCAATAGTTAAGTTTTAGCACAATAACACAGAAGCGGCTTTAAGACTAGGCTTCTCTGCTTTGAAGAGCATTCTCACTAAAAAACTTGTGTGTGTGTGTGTGTGTGTGTTCCAGGTCTGTCGAGTCCTCCGCCCCTGTCAGGCAGCAGCTCCATCACCGTTGCTTCCTCAGTACCCACCCCTGCCCCCTCCATTCCTCCCTTCAGCAGCCCTCTGACCACAATATCTACCTTTCCCTCCCAGTTGCCCCCTGCTTCCACATTTGCCCCACCTTTTACCAGCAGTGCCCCTCTCCCTTTTGCTGCTTTTCACTCACTGCCACCCCAGACCTCTTCCATCAGACCTCCTCCAGCACCTGGTCTGTCGGGCCCTCCTGTAGGCCCACCCATATCCAACTTCTCTTTGAGTGCTGGATATGACATAACACGGGGTCACGCTGGTCGGACACCTCAGACGCCACTGATGCCCACGTTCTCCAGTCCTTCTGTGACTCCAGGTCAGTGCCTCACTCTTAACACAGCAGCTCTCAAACTGTTGGGGGTGCGCCCCTGGAAGGGCCCGCGGCTGTGCCAGAGGTGGCACGACTATGTTCAATGTTTTATTCTTTTCGTTTTTACCCAGGTTACAAGATAAAGCAGTCTGAAACTATTTAAGGGATTATTATATTTATTTGTCTCTTCAACAGAGTGTGCGTTTGGAAAATTGAGAGGTATGTTGTCAATAAAACTGAGGATTTTAATTGAGAATTGCCAAACCGACTTAACTCATCGTGTTTTCAAAAAAGATTCAAAGGAAACGTCCGTCACACATTTATGCTCAAAGTCAACCCAGCTGAAGTGAGTTCTCCTCCTCGCCTCAATGTTCGTTTTGTTTCTAAAAGCTCTCGTCGCTGCAGGTGTTGTGCCGAGAAGTGATTGGGTGCTGCAGGAGTGTGCACAGCCTGCGTCCGTGTGACTCGGTGTTTCTGCTGCTTTAGTTCTGGGGGTCGAACTGAACACTGCTCCGTCGATGTTTAATTGACAACACGCACTCCGAGAGTATTTCATAAAATCTGTTAACTCGGCTCGACTTGCTGTTTGGTTTTCTATGAAACCGACTTACTTTAAAATAACTTGAATGTCTGCTGTTAAAAATCAGCCTGTGTGAATGAACAGCAGAGATTTAGCATGGGTCAAACTTCATATATCAAAAACTGGACTCTTATTTACATTTGTGTTTGTGAGACCTCCTGTTCTGTCGTCCTAAACTGAGTGTTTTCAGTTTTCACATGTTTATTTCCACCGCAGGTGTGGTGACTAACACCATGGTTCAGCAGCCCGTCATGGCAGGACGGTTAGACGCTGGATCTCCAATCACTTTCCCAGAGGAGCAGGAGGATCCTCACGTGTCTGGAGATGTCAACACTGGGGGGAGCTTGTGGGGCTTCTTTAAGGTAACGGCGCCTCCTGTGACAGATGAAGCCGCCATCAGAGACGCAGACGTAAATCAGTGATGCGCTGTGATTCATCGTGATCTGAACAAACACACTGCCGTCAGTGTGATAAATAAGAGTTTGGTGTGTATAAAAAGCTAAGCTCCGCCCCTCATCCCCTGTCTGTGTGTGGTTTCCGTGTCCTCAGGGAGTAGCAGGCAACCCTGTTGTTAAGTCGGTCCTTGATAAAACCAAACACTCTGTGGAGTCCATGATCACTACTCTGGACCCTGGCATGGCTCCGTACATCAGTAAGTTAACCCTCCCCCTCATTACAGCATCACGTGGGAACATGCTCAAACTCCTTTAATGTTTGTCTGTGTGCTCTGTCGTCCAGAGTCTGGAGGGGACATTGATATTGTGGTGACTTCAGACAAGGATGTAAACGTGGAAGCAGTCAGAGACGCCTTCCAGGAAGTGTTTGGGATGGCTATGGTCACTGGAGAGACGGCTCAGTCCAGCATCGCTCCACAGCCTGTGGGCTACGCAGCCGGTGTCAAGGTCAGCTCACCGCCTTGTCCCCAGTTTATATGATGGCTGTCGAAGCCGAGCACCGCTGCTGTATTTTATCTTCCTGTTTCACCAGTTCAGGAGTTTTAATTCCCACTTCTCAGGGCTAAAGAGACAGTTAGCTTTTTTTTTTTTACTGGTAAACTCGTCATCTGAGCAATAATTAAACTGTTCATAAACGTCTGAACTAAAGTTGTCTAATCATAGGCGTGGAATAGATGTCTACATTTATCTGCCATTGGGAAAAAAAAACAAAAACCGATTGGAGCTCTGAAAGTGAACCTAATATTCTGGTGCTCAGCTGCATGTCTCTAAAACCAATGATTTTTCTTAGTTTGTCACTTTGAGCATTCTTAGACCATGTACAGTGTTGTTTAATTGTTTTAATTCTCTGCCACAAAAAGATGTTTAAAGAAATAAAAGTTTCCCATTTGAATGATTTCGTCACTCTGAAGTTCGGTTTCAGTCTGGTGGAGAAATGTGTGTGCGCTCGTGTGTGTGCAGGGAGCTCAGGAGCGGATCGACAGCCTGCGTCGAGCTGCAGTGATCCATGAGAAGCAGCCCGTCGTCTCTTTGGAATATTTCATCGCTGAGCTTTTTCCTGACAAGTAAGAATGGATCCTCTGGGTGACGCACGCTCAGATTTACTTCACATGACTTCGACTTGCATTCATTAAAGACATATTTATTATGGATCTATGCTGTTTTTGCATTTCTTCTGTTGTTCATAATAATAAATGTGTATGTTATTGTTGATGGTAGTGTACACCTTCAACACTAAATGTTGCATGTTTTTTTTTTACATGTGCTTGCCGTTCAAAAAAAAAAAAAAAAGCATGACGTTTTAACATCAGTGGTAAAATCTCAGAATGCTCTTGTCCTCAGATGGTTTGACCTCGGCTGTTTAATCTTGGAGGACCCTTGTCACAACATTCACATTGAGGTCTTCACTCAGGCTACACCTGTCGCCCTAGAATACATCCAGCAGGTAAAAGTACAAACCTCCTGGGCCACATTTTTATACTTGTACTACAGACACAGGGTGTTTAGGATAAATTATTTATCTGTTTATTTTTGTATTATAGATTATACCAGTAGATTATTTTGAAGTGGTTTTGCAAATTTTTCAGGAAAAAAAAAAAATCTATTCCTGGTGTTATCGTGACCGGGTATTCAAAAGTAATTTGTCGACACATACTGTATGTACAAACTGTTTGACCACCTGCAGCTTGAATCGGAACAGAACGTGTTCGCTTCTTGAAGAAGACTCGTACTAAGACTCATAAACATAATGACCAAACAAAAACTGCAGAAGGATTCTCATTTTGATTCAATGCATTTAGGTTCTGCTGTTCATTGAAACTTTAATGCAGCATGCAGGACCGTAGACTCTGGTACTGTCTGCACACCTCTCAGCTCGGTACGGTGCACCGCCGATCTGCTGACATGCAGCACATGCATGAGGAATTTGACCAAGCCAGCTCAAATGTTTGTATTTAGGTTCTGATTACTAATCAGGCAGCCATATCTAGGTTTCTGTAGGAAGAAGATACTTGGCAGCAAGTTCGCCACATTAGATAAACCTTTTGATTTTAACAATAGATGGGAGTTTTTGAATGCACTTTAAAGAAGCAGCACAGGAGCTTCTCTATAAATATGCTGTTCTGAGTGGGATCTATAACTGCTGGTGTGATATTTATGCAAGTGTTCATAAGTTGAACTAAAAACCGGTTGCACAAGCAGCTCTGTTCCCGTCATAAGTTCATAAGACAGCTGATTAACCTAAAGTAGAGCTCCTCCATGTTTCTCGTCCCGTGTATTATTTTCACAGCATTGTTGCAGCCCTCTTTGTTCTGTCTTGAATCACTCCGTTCAGATGCTGCACTGTCTGTTTGGTGTCCGATTACTCCTGTTCAAGCTTCTGACATTATATTTTGGTTTTGGTTTTCTGGCCCAGCACTGGTTTTACAGGATGACAGACCTGTGGTTAAAATATATAACGCTGGGGCTGAATGAGCTCTGGCTTCAAACTAGAACTGGAACACACTTTGCAGAAACTGGATGAGGTTAAAAAGGTGTGCTACAAGTGTTGATTTAGCCTCTACTGTTTCCATGACAACAGACTCCAATATAGGGAATAAGAAGAGCCAGCAGGTAAATGTTGCAATTAATATACAGTAAATGCTACTTTGACACAAAGTGTCTGTTGGTGACCAAGCATGCCTCTTCATGGAAATAGTACTCTGGCCTGTGATGCAGCTGTTTTGGCAGCAAAAAAAAAAAAAAAAAAAGAGTACAGGTGCTGGTCATAAAATTAGATTATCATGAAAAAGTTGATTTTATTTCAGTAATTCTATTCAAAAAGTGAAACTTGTATATTATATTCATTCATTACACACAGACTGACACATTTCAAATGTTTATTTCTTTTAATGTTGATGATTATAACTGACAACTAATGAGAACCCAATATTCAGTATCTCAGAAAATTAGAATATCGTGAAAAGGTTCAATATTGAAGACACCTGGTGCCACATTTTAATCAGTTAATTAACTCAAAACACCTGCAGAGGCATTTAAATGGTCTCAGTCTAGTTCTGTAGCTACACAATCATGGGGAAGACTACTGACTTGACCATTGTCCAAAATACGACCATTGACACGTTGCACAAAAAGAGCAAGACACAAGGTCATTGCTAAAGAGGCTGGCTGTTCAAAGAGCTCTGTGTCCAAGCACATTAATAGAGAGATGAAGGGAAGGAAACAATGTGGTAGAGACAAGTGTACAAGCAGTAGGGATAACTGCACCCTGGAGAGGATTGTGAAACAAAACCCATTCCAAAATGTGGGGGAGATTCACAAAGAGTGAACAGCAGCTGGAGTCAGTGCTTCAAGAACCACCACGCTCAGACATAATGCAAGACATGGGTTTCATCTGTCACATTCCTTGTGACAAGCCACTCTTGAACAAGAGGCAGTGTCAGAAGCATCTCGCCTGGGACTGCTGCTGAGTGGTCCAAAGTTATGTTCTCTGATGAAAGTAAATTTTGCATTTCCTTTGGAAATCACAGTCCCAGAGTCTGAAGGAATAGAGAAGAGGCAAATAATCCATGTTGCTTGAGGTCCAGTGTCAAGTTTCCACAGTCAGTGATGGTTTGGGGTGCCATGTCATCTGCTGGTGTTGGTCCACTGTGTTTTCTGGGGTCCAAGGTCAAAATGGCCGTCTACCAGGAAGTTTTAGAGCACTTCATGCTTCCTGCTGCTGACCAACTTTATGGAGATGCAGATTTCATTCCCAACAGGCGGCTGTGGCTGAATGGTTAGAGCAGTTGTCCTCCAGTGCGAGAGTTGGGGGTTCGAATCCACCAGTAGTCACATGCTGAAGTGTCCCTGGGCAAGACACTGAACCCCTCATAGCCTCTGATGTGTGTCCCATCAGTGTATGAATGTGATCTAAAGCACTGATTAATCTCATTAGAATGATTTGTTCAATTGGCTTTGTAGAGATGTAGAGTGCTGTATGAATGTGTAAATGAGGCACAGATTGTAGTGTAAAGAGCTTTGAGTGTCTTGAAATAAGATAGAAAGGTGCTATATAAGTACAGTCCGTTTACCATTTAACAGGACTTGGCAAGTGCACACAGTGCCAAAGCTACCAGTACCTGGTTTAAGGACCATGGTATACCTGTTCTTAACTGGCCAGCAAGCTTGCCTGACCTTAACCCCATAGAAAATCTATGGGATATTGTGAAGAGGAAGATGTGATACACCAGACCCAACAATTCAGAAGAGCTGAAGGCCACTATCAGAGCAACCTGGGCTCATAACACCTGAGCAGTGACACAGACTGATCGACTCCATGCCACGCTGCATTGCTGCAGTAATCCAGGCAAAAGGAGCAACAACTAAGTATTGATGCTGTACATGCTCATACTTTTATGTTCATACTTTTCAGTTGGCCAACATTTCTCAAAAAAATTTTATTGGTCTTAATAATATTCAAATTTTCTGAGATGCTGAATTTGGGGTTTTCATTAGTTGTCAGTTATAATCATCAACATTAAAATAAATGAACATCTGAAATATATCAGTCTGTGTGTAATGAATGAATATAATATACAAGTTTCACTTTTTGAATGGAATTCCTGAAATAAATCAACTTTTTCATGATATTCTAATTTTATGACCAGCATCTGTATGTACTTGTTAATAAACAGGGAGTAAAAATACTATGAACGTTTTAGTTTTGTGCACACTTTTATTTTTCAGTGAATGATTTATACCGAGACATCTAACGAGGTTGAGTCAGGTCATCTGGATGAATTCTTCTTTGTTGAAACGTTTCATCTTTCATCCAAAAGACGTCTGAGGAGCTGCAACAAACTCAGTCTTCTAAGCAAAGAGAGGAGTGAAGGAAGCCGTCTTTGTGAAGAGAACTTGTCCATCGTTAAACAGGCGGAGGCCTTCGTGTCCAACTACCACCACCTTTTTTGAGTTTGTTGCAGCTCCTCAGACTGAAGAAGTCTTCTGGATAAAAGACGAAATGTTTCAATAAAGAAAAATCGGTCCAGAGAACCTGATTTAACCTGGTTCGACTTATCTACCTGGATTATGGATGCAGCAGGATATTCTGAAACACTTTTCAATCCAAGAAATAAAAAATGTTTTTTTTTTTTTTTTTTACCCATATATATTTTAAATGTTTATATACTGTATGGATTTTTTTTCCCCCCTTCATTCAACCTTTATTTAGACGGGTAAATCCCATTGAGCCTCGAGGACTCATTTAAAAGAGAGACCTGATTTCAACAAAGAATGACGACAGTGGGGGAATATAACTTGTACAGACTGAATGATGTCATTGTGTACTCGTAGCATCATACTGGTTACCAGTTGTCACTCACAGGAGTTGCAGCAGAGGTTGTATCTTTTAAGGAGGCAAAGATGGGTGACAGCTGAGCAGCTCGTCTGTTCAGTTTGTCTCATAGACCTCTGTCTTCAAACCTGCAGGCGCAGTCCCTGACTCCTCCTGACTACAGCCTGCGCTGGTCCGGTCTGGTCGTCACCGTGGGCGAGGTGCTGGAGCGCTGTCTGCCCAACATCAACAGGTCAGACTGGCACCAGTCCGTGACGGGAACGAGCCAGCGCCAGATGATCCAGAGCGCCGCCAAGGTTCTAGCTGGAATCTACAAACGGCAGCTGCCCCCCAGGACTCTGTGAGACTGTTTCCACTTCCTGTCACACGCTGGGAGAAAGTGGAGGCACTTTAGAAGATGAATGACACCGCGGGAGAGCTACGATCTGCATCGCTCCATTCAGGACGCAAATAAAAGCAGCTGTTTTTAAAGATCTTTTTGTTGGTGCCCATAAACGTTTACTGATGTTCCAGTGAGTTTTACTGAATGTTGTCATATCAACCAATCTTCTGTCCTACTCATGAAGTGACCATGTGATCTCCCATCATGTCTATTGATGAGTTTTTATGTTTCTGACTTCTTGTAATAGTAAAGTGTACTGCAGCTGTATTAATTATTTAGTGAGGTGTGTAGAAGGAAAACGTGATTCTGGTGTAATTGGACTGAATGTAGCGTGGATCTTGTTGGGTTTGTGCCGTCTGAGCACCCGTGTCTTCTGGAACACAGAACTTTAGGTTCCACTTTGTACAAGTATGCACAGTGTTGGCCGTTGTTATATAAACTCTGTGTACTGTTTAATGAGATACATGTATCCTCACATCGCTGCCAGTTTCACATTGAAATACAACCCCCAAATGTTAATTTGACTATTTTAGTTAATCTGATGTCCACTTTTCATTTCTGGCTGTAAAAATATTTTAATATCCTTCTGTCATCGGGTAAATTTTCAGAAGAGTGATAATCTGATGTTTTGTTTTTTTAATGCTTTGCAACATATGATTAATGTTATGCTAAATATTTGTAATTATGCGCTGATTGATCTGAACAGAAACCAGTTTAAACGTGCAACATGTGCACGCATTAAATCTGGATTATCCTAAAGCTGTCCCAGCTCACAGACCTTAGTAAGCATGTAAATAATTTTTAAGTCGTTCCGTTTTACAGATCTGGAGGTAAAACTTGGTTTGGTAGTAGCTGAGAGTCATTCACAGCCGAGCACCAACTCGTCTCTTGAGATTTCTCAGGAATTCATGAGATGAGGCATAAAGTTATTTTACTCAAACAGCTATAACTCCATCGCTTCGCAACGTGCAATGATCTTTGTCTAAAACCGACATGAAAGGTGGCGGGTGGTGTGTGTTCCTTCAGGGAATCCTAGGCCTTTAATCTTAGTTTTTCCTGCGTTTATTTTATTTTAAATACATAAGTTTTCCTAATTTTATTGTTTGATGGCTGATTCCTGATTACACAGGTGTTTTTATGATTTTCATCAAATGTGAAGGACCTGAAGACCTTTCCAAATCTCAAATAACTTCTTTTTTTTAATTGGTCTTATTTCGATTGAACTCTTGTTTAGGCATTTAATTCAAAAATACTTTATTAATCCCAGAGGTAAATTAAATGTAACTCATCATTCTGGTTCATTAATGAGTTGTTCTAGATGCTGATAGCTGTGAGCAGGAAGGATCTCTGGTAGCGGATCTGAAGAAGCCTCTGACTGAAGACACTTGTTGTATGACAGTCTGATGAAAAGGATGCTGAGGGTTGTCTATAATGTTCTTCATTTTATCAGAATCAGTTTGTTATCGCCATGTCAATGAACGAGGTTCACAAACTAGGAATTTGCTTCGACATAAGGTGCGAATAGTAATAAAGTAAAATAAAGTAAAAATGACGTAAAAATTAGAACATTACATAAGACCTAAGACCTGTATACACCCACAAATAAAGTAAAATTAAAAACATAACCATATGTACACCCATACAATAGAAAACAATAAAAAAGCTTAGAGAACAGTACAGATGGAGTATTCAGTTATAATACAGATGTAATGTGACCAAAGCAGAAATTATGAGGTAGCATTATGAGTGTTCAGGAGTCCAACAGCAGAGGGGAAGAAACTGTTCTTATGGCAGGAGGTTCTGGTCCGTATGGACCGAAGCCTCCTGCCTGAGGGGAGTGGTTCAAACAGTCCGTGAGCAGGGTCAGCTGTGATCCGACCTGGGGGTCCAGGAGGGGGTTGGTGATGAACTTGAGGTGAGATGAAACCAAGCGTTCAAAGGTTTTCATGACTACAGACGTGAGAGCTACAGGTCTGTAGTCATTTGGTCCTGTGACACGTGGCTTCTTGGGGACAGGGACGATGATGGAGGACTTGAAACAGGCTGGGACGTGGCATGACTCCAGAGAAGAGTTGAAGATCCCTGTGAAGACCGGAGCCAACTCTCCAGCACAATGTCTCAGCGTGGAGGGTGACACAAGGTCTGGGCCTGCAGCCTTATGTGTATTCAGCCTTTTAAAAAGCCTCCTTACTTCATCCTCTTGTACAGAGATAGCAGGGGGTTGTCGGGGGCAGTCCCAAGTGGTTAAACCAGTTGGGCTGGGGGTGGTGTGGAGGATGGAGGAATGTGAGTCCACGACTTCAAAGAGTGAATAGAAGTCGTTCAGATCATTTGCCAGTTTGAGATTGTCTGTAGGATGAGGTGCTCTGGGCTTGTAGTTAGTGTTGTTATGTAGTTATGAAGAATCCTTCTTTGTACAATCCTCTCCAAAGGTTCTAGAGGAGTCCCCAGAACTGAGCCAGCCTTCTTTATGAGCTTGTTGATCTTTTTTAAGTCACTTGCTCTGGTGCTGCTCCCCCAGCAGATGATGGCGCTCTCTACAACAGACTTCTAGAAGATCTGCAGCATCTTGCTGCAAACACTGAAGGACTTCAGCTTCAAGAAGTTCAGTCTGCTCTGTCCCTTCATGTTTAGGCCCTGTTTACACGACGAGGCCTTTTTCCCAGTGAAATTGGATCTTTTCAGTTCAGCCATTCATTGACACGAGAACAGCCCTCGTTCTCAAACTGAAGGTTTCTGAGTCTTATCCTGATGCATGCTCAATAATCCAGGTAGAAAAATCTAAAAAAGTTAAATCTGGTCCTCTGGACATTCAAAAAAACAAAACAAAGCAAATCAACAAAAAAATGTAGAAACGTTTCGTCTCTCATCCGAGAGACTTCCTCAGTCTGAGGTGCTGTATTCAGCTCAGTCTCTTAAATAGCACCGTCTCAGAGTGGATCAACCAGTTTTGCTGCTGACAACCAAAACCAGCTGATCACATGCTCAAGAAGGACCATCAGCATAACAATGGATCATTCCTCAGACTGATGAAGTCTCTCGGATGAGAGACGAAACGTTTCTACATTTTTTTGTTGATTTGCTTTGTTTTGTTTTTTTGAATGTCCAGAGGACCAGATTTAACTTTTTTAGAGGTTTCTGAGTCTTGTTCTCAGAGTGGATTTTCGAGGAGCCCCTGGTAGAGGGGTCAAAAGTGTGAAGTCACACGTGCGCTACAAGCGGCTGCAGGCAAAAGTTTCTCTGCACTAAGGACATCCTGATGCACTCTCAGTAATCCAGGTAGATAAATCCAAGTCATGGACCAGTCTTTAATGTATTTTGGGGTTTAAAAGCCACTGGGACGTTGTGTTTAGAAAATAAATATGCTTCTCTAAAACTCCTGCAACGTATGGAATGACCACTGGTCTGGGTTCCTCCTTTCTGCCTGATGGTAGGCTGGAGTCCTGTTTGTGTTTCTTCTCTGTTTTCAGGAAGGCCCAGTTAGGATATCCACATTTTACTGATCACATCAACTCTGTGGATAAATCCAGTTCACACAAGAAGATGTAAAAAATGGCAAGTTGGCTTTCTTGGACTGTGAGGTCTCAGTCTCTGATAGAGGACATTTGCAAACTGAGGTGTACCGCAAACCCACCCACACAGACCAGTATTTGCAGTTTGAGTCCCATCACCCTTTGGAGCACAAGTTAGGAGTCATCAGGACTCTGTACCACAGAGCAGACAGCGTCCCCACTAGCTCAGGAGCCAGGCAGAAGGAGAAATCCCACACAAGACAGGCTCTAGAGCAATGTGGATATCCTAACTGGGCCTTCCTGAAAGCAGAGAAGAAACCTAAACAGGACTCCAGTCAGCCAACAGGTGAAAAGGAGGAACCCAGACCAGTGGTCATTCTGTATGTCGCAGCAGATTAAAACACATTATTGCAGGAGTGTGTACATTGTTAAACCTGCAACCTGAGAGTGAAGAGTTCTATCAGGAAAGTATGGACCACAAGACCTGTAATATAAAATGGAGTTGTTGAGGGCATTGTTTTGCAAGTCAAAAGTCAAATGTTCTTTATTTGTCATTCGCACCACATGTGGTACATGTGGTGGAACTAAACTGTACACAGGGGTCCAGTTACATCCAACAGAAGTATTAAAATGTAAAAGAAAAACAGTAATAAGATCCAAGATATGAACTAAGAAATACGATAAACTAAGAAATGCGCTAAGCACTAATAGTACAAAAACAATACACTGCACAACAGCAGTATGAACACAGTGACCAGAGGAGTACGAATGAACACAGCAGCATGAGATCAGCAGCATGAGATCAGCATCACATACCAACAATCAAGTGGCATTGCAGTGATTATCCTGGTTGGATATGAGTTCATGAGTCTTAACAGCATCAGGGTAGAAGCTGTTCCTCAGTCTAGTAGTTATACACTTAATGCTCCTCAACCTCCTTCCTGATGGGAGTGGGGCAAAAAGTGTTTGTGCTGGGTGAGTGGGGTCCTTCATGAAACAGGTGGCTCTCTTCCTGCATCTGGAGGTGTAAATGTCTGTGATGGTGGGGAGGCTGACTCCAACAGTCTTCTGTGCAGCCTTCACCACCCTCTGCAAAGCTTTTCTTTCTGCAGCTGTGCAGCCTCCATGCCACACGTTGATGCTGGAGCACAGGATGCTCTCCACTGCACACCTGTAGAAGGAGGTGAGGACTGAGCTTCTCAGACCAGCTCGTCTCAACCGTCTGAGGAAGTAGAGTCTCTGATGAGCTTTCTTCATCAGGCTGGTGGTGTTGTTGCTCCAGCTGAGTTTGTCATTCAGGTGTACACCCAAGTACTTGTAGCTGGAGACCACTCCCACCGCAGATCCTCCTATGTTCGGAGGGAGTGGGGGGTTTGTTCCTTCTGAAGTCCATGACCATCTCCTTCGTTTTGTAGTATGACATATTTACATTGTTGTGAAGGTTGTTCTTCCTGCACCAGCTCTCCATGTGTTCCACCTCCTGCCTTTAGCTGGACTCATCGTTGTTTGTGATGCATCCAGCTGTTAAATTTTAAATTATATTCTGGATCATATGAAGCTTCTTATGTTTTCAGTCTGTTTTTATTGTAAGAAAAGCTCTCTGCTCATAAAACTGCTGTTCCATCGATCCCTCTGCTCTTGATCAGGTGTGTGTGCGTGCGTGCGTGCGTGCGTGCGTGCGTGCGTGCGTGTGTGTATGTGTGTATGTGTGAGTGAGAGAGAGACTGGCTGCAGGGAGGCCGTGTTACGTGATGAAGCAGAGCCTCCTCCTCCTCCTCCTCCTCCTAGTGGAGTCAGTAAGCCTCTCTCTAAGCTGGGAGGCTGCAGAGCCTTCAGCTCGGGATGCCATCCTGACAGAGAGGAGTCTTCTATCAAACCTCTCATTTCGTTGTCCGTCTGTCCGTCTATCTCTCTGTCTGTCTGTCTGTCTGTCTGTCAGCATATGCTGTCGACAGTGAGGTAGAAATGGACCAAATCCTTTGGTCCTCTCTGTAACTCTGGAGATGGATTCAACACAAGCAGATGAAGGTATGTCTCTCTTTGCTGTGTTCTTAACATGGTGTGTGTGCATGTGCATGCATTAGACATGCCTGCAGCAGCCAGATGTGAAGGCTGCACTTGTTGAGCAGTTGTGGACCTTTACCTGTCAGTTCTGCCATCATGTGAGATGGAACATCTGCTTCAGGCTGGTGTCTGCGTCCTCTCCAGGTCCCTCCCTGCTGCCAGCTGAATGCAGCAGCGTGGAAACACTCACCAGGACCTCCTACATTCATAATACATAAACAAGCCTTGAACTCATTGCGTTATCAATGTTTGAACAGAAGCAGAGGAAACAGCTGAGCAAGGACTGGTCGGAGAGGCTGTGTGCACCATGGAGGTTAACTTGTTACATGCTCACCACGTGCATGTGAAAAATAACATCATGTGCTTCTGCTAATTAATTTAGAAGAACCTTCAACAGAGTCCGTTTTAGGTACTGGATGTGCAGATGTTTGTCTGTCTGCAGCACAGGGCTGGCCCAAGGTTGTGTGGGGCCCTGAGCAGAATTTTACTTAACAAGCTATGAGTAATCACTAACATATTCTGAGGGGTGCACATTTTGCAAGACCTTTGCTTAAAACTGTACTGTTAGTGAACCTTGACTGTTAGCAAAATATCGTCAGGTTGCAACTTGCATGAAATGTGATCCAGCTCAGACACAAGAAGCAGATATCATCCATCCATCCATTATCTTTTACCCGCTTCTTCCATTTTGGGTCAAGGGGGTCGCTGGTGCCCATGTCCTGCAATCCAGTGCCAGGGGTGGGGTACTCCCTGGACAGGTCTCTAGTCCATCACAGGGACACATAGAGACAAACGAGACAAACAACCATTCACTCACTCACACCTAGGGACAATTTAGAGTTACCAATCTGCCTAACATGCATGTTTTTGGTCTGTGGGAGGAAACTGGAATACCTGGAGTAAACCTATGCATGCACGGAGAGAACATGCAAACTCCACCCAGAAAAGCCTCTGGACCGGGATTTGAACCAGGGACCTGCTCGCTGAGAGGCAGCAGCTCTACCAGTTGCACCACCGTGCTGCCCAAGCAGATATCAATACGACTCATTTATCACTTTGGTCACAACTAATGTAGAATAAATGTGTAAATAATTTGTTCAGACACTCTTGGGGGCCCCCTGTTGGACTGGGGGGTCCCTGTTGGACTGGGGGGCCCCTGTTGGACTGGGGGGTCCTTGTTGGACTGGGGGGCACTGAGCAGTCAGTTGGGTTGATAAGCTTTGAGCAGGCTGTGTGTGGACAAATAATAATGTTGACAAATTGTACATGGATACAAAACTAAACCACAATTTTAGTAAAACAAATAATAAAACAAAATGAAGAAGTTTCTCCAAAACCATGTGCAACAATTTTCAAATCTGTTTGTGTTTATTTAAATGCAGGTTTAGTTTTTTTTTTTTTTATAATTTCCTGGCAGCATCTGTTCAATGAAACATTCAGTGGTTTTAGAGCACATTTAAAAGTCCCTTTAAAAAGCTTTGTGTGTTGCTGTGGAGCTAATTTTAGCTGGAGAGAAGCAGGACCTGTGAAGGACACACGTTTTGTGATCCTTCAGGGGATCCAGGCCCTTATTTAGGACGCAGCCAGAGGAGGATGGGTAGGAAGGAGAGTCGGAGACAAACGAGACAGAATCTGATTCACCCCACAGAACTGAGAGGTCAAATTAAACAATACAAAGTCTGAAGTCAACCGTCATTTTGATTAATTGTGTTTCAGCTGTCATCTACAATCTGACTGTATGATTCTTCATTGCTGCTCCTGAGCTCATTTGAATAATTTAGAGTTACTTAAACATGTACTTTACTTATATGACGGACAAAAAACTGAACTAATGCCTACATATATTACCTGTTTATGTTTATGAATATGGCCCTCTGCAGCAACTTTTATCCACTGATGAGCACCAGATCATTCAGCTGATCATTTATTAGAGCTAACATTTTATTTTAACACAAACAAAAGCTAAGCCAGTGGCTGTTATGATCTAGTCTCACTTTTCTCAGACCTGTCTAAAACGTTTGACACTGTGGATCATAACATCTTGTGTCATAAGCTCTCAGAAATCGGTTTCTCGGTTCACACCATAGGTTGGTTCTCTAAGTATCTTTCAGATTGGGGGCAATATGTTCAACTTATTGGTATTTCCTCCAGTTATTTAATAGTCAACAGTGGTGTACCACAAGGTTTAGTCTTAGGACACATCCTCTTTACAATCTGCATAGGTAATGTAGGTCAGAGCATCACTGATGCATCCTTACATTTCTATGCTGATGATAAGCTGGAGAACCTCTGCAACTGTTTTAGCTCGACAATAAACTAATGTGTCGTCAGCATAAAAATGTAAGGATGCATCAGTGATGCTCTGACCGATGCCCTGAGCCTTGTGGTACACCATTGTTAACAGTTAGATAGCTGGAAGAAGTACCATTATGTTGAACACATTGCCACATTGGTATACACTTATAACTATGCGTTCAAGGATAAACTAGCTGTAGGAAAGCAATCTGCTCAAAATGTTTTTATCTGGGTGAAAAGCCCCTTTGAGAACACACTGAACATCTGTGTTTTGGTCTGACGTCTCTTTCCAGACAATGCTGTCCATCGTAGGGGACCGGGCCTGGTTTCTGTGACGAGGATGCCCCAATACCTCCTCCTCTGGAGACTGCATAACCACCGTCCCGCCCCTGTGGCACTCCTGTGGTCCTGGAAGATGGAGGGAGAACCCTTCACCTCAGCTCTCTCCTCTCTGCTGTACTCATCTGGGGGACACTTTGTGGCCCTCTCCTCCGCCTCCTTGTCCTCCTCCTCTTCATCTTCTGATTCTGCTGTCACTGTCATGTCCCTGGAGCAGAAGACAACTTTCGCCCTCGTTATTCTCCTCTTCATATTCCTTCTCATCCTCATCGTACGATGCTTCCGTATCCTGCTGGACCCGTACCGGAGCATGCCAACCTCCACCTGGGCAGACGGTCTGGATGGTCTTGAGAAGGGCCAGTTCGACTACACTCTGGCCTAGAGTTTTGTATTAAATATGCACATCCCAGAACACAAGTCTTAACATAAACGCACACTCACCAGTGTTGGTATCCTGTTTGTCTTGACTTTACGGTGCCTGTGAGAAGCACAAACACTTTTTACACTTCCCTTTTAATGTGCACAATCTATTGTGTTTTTAATGACACAAAGCTGAATGTAGCTGGAATTTGCTCACAGTTTGCTCCAGATGGATAAAAATATATTTTTTTGTAGTATTGCAGCTGATTGTGAGCGTGCTTAGCAAAGTAAGTACTTTCAAATAGGAAATCGGGCTGATGTGGAAAAATGCTGCATCGTAAAACTACAAAAGCAGTTGAAATCCAAGTTACAACACAGCTGATCTCACGCCAAAAACAATGTCCGCACTGTCATCATACATGAGGAATTTTCAAAATTGACAATTTTTTGTTAGTTTATTGAAATGGTTTTTGTCTTTTTTTTTTAATACGCTAATTAATTGTAATGATGAAATCAGTGTAAGGGCACACAGTTCTCAAAATGTTCTTTTGTCCAGCAGGTTTTCCTACATTTTAGTGGTTTTTTTTTCTTTCTGCTGTCATTAAAGCGAGGCAAACTGATATATTTTATTGTGAGAGCTCCTGCACATATTTGCCTTGAGCCACTCCTTTGTCAAACTAAACTAGAATCAGTGAGGGTGTGAAGTGTGACTCACTCTCACAGATAAGATCTTCAAGAGATTTGGTCAGAGCTGTCTTTGTGCAGTGTATAAACTCAGTTTGGTGGTTTAAGCTGCTAAATGCTTAAAGTTTAAGATTCGTTCAAAGATAAACTTTATATTAGTGTTGATTTTGAAATAGGAAACTATACACTCTCTTTAGAGTACACTGGCTGGTGTGAATCTGTACTAAGCCACACACACACACAAAAAAAGATTATCAAAAAGTAATTTAAGAGTTGTTTTAGTTTGAGATTCATGCTGGTTCAAACTCACCGTCACTTCTTATCATCTAATTTATTGGTAATCCAAAGGAAGTCCTAATGGACTTATTTTAACGAGCACTTTTCTAGTAAAACAGTTCAGCAGGAGAAGAAGAGGGTTTCATGTTGTCAGGGTATTATTAGTTAAGATTACTTTTAACATCTTGTGCTTTTTTGAAGTTCAAATGAGAACACATTTTCCCAATTTATATAAAGTTGATTTAAATGCTATTAATGTTTACATTTTGAAGAACATGGCCGATAAAGCTAAATATTTCAAAAAAGTAAAAATTACACTGAGGGTTACATTTCTGCCTGGTTTGAGTACAAATTAACAGTTTCAACCATCATCAACTTAAAGCATACATGCAGTGTATAAACATGCAACCAGCAAATTACAATGAATGTGCAACTGTCAGTAGAATTAACCCTCTTTGCTAAACACTGCAGGTCCCATTTTATTTTGCCAAAACATGGATGACTGAAGGTGTGCTGTGGTGTCTGACACACATGGCATGTTAGTAGCATCCGTTTTCTGCCGTTGGTTTAGGGTCTCCTTGGATCAAACTTGTGGAAATGAATTTGTTGAATGACTGAACCAACTGGAGCCTTTGGGGTTAAAAAATAAAGTTGGTGTTTTGGGCTTTTTTAATTTATTTTTTGGTCTTTCCTGAACAGTAGTTGTGGTGTGGCAATGTTCCGTTCTATTGGAGTGGATTTCTGTCTCAGGAGCATGGCCTTTTCCTGCAACAATCAATCAACCAATCAATATACTTTATTGATCCCCAAGGGAAATTTCATTTCAGTACATCCTGTCCAAGAAACAACAGGCATGGGGAGAGGAGGTGTCTGAGGCTGCAGCCACAGAGAGCAGTGTCAGCTTTTTCATTAGATAAGGAAAGTGAAAACATGAGGAAAGGGAAGGTATAAAAAAATCAAATCACACTGTGTCCTTGACACAAGGGACACAGTGTAAGGTAGCACAAAAATGACCTCAGCACAAATAAAAGCAACATAAATAGACATTACATAAAGACATAATGAGGAGGCCGACAAAGGCAGAGAGTTGTCTGTAGACACTGCCAGATAGTACCATAGTCCTGATAAGAGACGGTGCAGTGTCTATCAGTCGGCTCAGCTCTGACACAGGTCCACAGATGTCTGGGAGCAGAGCCTCTTGTTCACATAACATCCAGGAGTTTGAGATAGTTGTCCAATTCAAGGCCAAGCAAGGGAGCCAGATTCAGATAACAACAGTTATTTTGGGTCAAGCCAATTTTGCTTGATTTATTTCTGTCTGCCTTCATAGTTCAGTTCTGCTGGCACATCTCAATTTCGACTTCAAACAGCCAAATTTTGTGGTCAGCACCGCCGTGCTGAGCTTGTAGCTTCTCCAAGGTTGATTCCTTCCTGCCAGCGAGTTTCAGGAGCTGCAAGTGGCCTGCGATTCTCAGATATCGCATCCAGCTTACGACTCAGCTCACACAGCAGCTGAGTCTGAGTGCTTATTGCTCGGCACATACCTTCACACAAACTGGGCAGCCTTACAATGGTCAGAACAGTTGCAGACGATTTTTGCATTTGTCGATGTGCCAGGTAACTGCCAACTCCAAAAAGCAGAGATCCTGTTATCATAAATGCAATTATGTATGCATCTTCTACATCCTCAGCCAACAATACTGACAGATACACGACCTTCCACTGCCTCCAGAAATATGTTGTGTATCCAACTGCAAGTGTACCGTCAGGGCAAGACAGCTCTACTTTGCCTGTCTTCTCATTGAGAAAATGTTATCAGTTGCGTTGAGAGACCAATGAATGTAACAATGAATGTATCACATATTGTAACAAACATACAGATGCTGTGATAGTTGTCATATATCCTGGGAGGCTTAATGCCCCTGTGGGTAATGATGTAGTTCCCTGGGAAAATATTACTGGGAAGAGCAGCCTCCCTGATCTGAATCTGAGTGATGTTTTGGTACTAAACTTGTTTGGTATGGGTTGTCCATATTGGGCGCCATGTTTCATTATAGGGTGGTCTGTACTTGATACCATGTAACCTTGTGCAAATGATAGTTGACCTGCAGCCCTATGTCATGTACGTGTGTGAGTGAAGATAGGAGCAGAGCTGTCAACTGATCACCACCTGGTGGACATTTTAGAGCAGGGGAGACTGATCTGCTAAACACAAATGAGTAGTTCATGAACTGGGAGGCTGCTGTCCATGAGATTTTCAACTCATGCATTGTGGTGCATTTTTCAAGTTTCCTATGGAAGGTTGAGGGCATGAAAACTCAATAGGTCATGTATAAGTTCTCCCCTGCAGATTTTACTTGTGGCTAGATAGCTGCCAGAGGACTTGTTGATGGACAACAATATCGGATTAAACAAGAGCTGTCTTCACAGTCATCACACAAATGCAAACTTATTTCCAATGAGGGTAGACTCCTTTAGGGCTGTTCCTTCTCACTGATCCTATGTAAGATGATGATAAACAGGATCTCAATGTGTTGTCATGATGATGAGGGTGTCTGGTTCAAAAATCTCTGGGTCTGATCTATGTCTTTTGCAGATAATCTGGTATCAGATGATGGGACGTCTTCAAGTCATAAACTTCAGTACGCACTGCAGTGTTTAGCTTAGTGGGAAGCAGCCAGGATGAGAGTTGGTTCCTCTAAGTCTGAGGCCATGGTTCAGACCTAGAGTAGCTAAAAAGTGTGGAATGCACCCTCAGTTTGAATAGAGAGTTAAAGTATTTTGGTGTACTATTGGTAAGTCATAACGGGATCAAGTGAGGGATTGATTTATGATTTTTGATTTTTTGAACCTTTGCTTACAGCAATGAGGGCATTGCTCCTGTCTGTGGTAGTAAAGAAAGAACTGGATCAAAAAGCTATGCTCCAGATTCATTGGTCCAGTACAACCTTTACCTTTACCTTTAACGAATAAGATCTTGGATACAAGTAGCTAAATTTTGTTTCTTCTGTAGGGTGGCCAGGCTCAGAGATGGGGTGAGGGACTCCATCGTCTAGGGTGAGGTCAAAGTAGAGTCGCTGGTCCTCCACATCAAAAGGAGTCAGCTGAGGTGGTTTGGGCAACTCATCAGGATGTAGGGTCTTAAAATTTCCACAATGCAGAAAATGCTGAACTGCTGAACAGGACAAACACAATGGCAACCTCCTGTTTGTCCATTGTAACCAGTCTAGGCTTAGGTTTCTGCCACATGTCACAGAGAGCCATATCTAAAACGTCCATAATAGTCATCCAAAATTAATCCATGTAATGCTAAGCACAAAGTCTGAAGCAGAACAACAGCCAAACACAGTTGATTGGAACCACAAGAATACATGGGACAACCAACAATGAAATGTCCTATCAGAGCCTTTGTAGCTGAGTGTTCAGAAACAGATATGTCTAAAGAAAATTAAAAGCCACACCTCTTCAGGCATCACATTGCCAGAATAGTAGCTTCAGTCATTGCCAGCTAACCCTGTGTCTGAACAGCTTACAGAGGACGCAGAAGTTTGTAAGCAAAATAGAAATGAGTCTGCAGAAACCTAATCATTATTAATGCTGAGAGAGTCACGCAGGACACGATGACACTACTAGTAAATGTCCTGTGAAACTTGTGGAAAAATCTAAGATAAATTTTAATTTTATATGTGAAGCACTGTTACCTTACACAGAAAAGACTCTTAACCATCATGTAAAACACATTTGTAAGGTGCTTTGTTTTGCAAAACTGGAATGTGTGTTTTTATTTATGTGTTTAAAGATGACTGGCAAGCATTGAATGTTCTGTTGAAATAAAACACTGCTGTATTTTTAGCAATATTCATTAAATTTTGGATAATTTCCTATCGAAGTGTGTAATTTATTTTCATCCACTGTATGTTTTGACACGTTTTATGCACAAATTACAGTACATAATGAACAATAACTAAAAAGAACTGAAGAGAAAAAGGAAAAAGTTAAAACAAATTTCATAAGTTAATCTTTCCCTCCATCTTAATGTAGATGTCATTACTTTTTACAACAGTCTAAGGACACTTTGTCT